TTGGTCATCTGCGCGGTAGATAACTTTAGAATGGCATCTGGTTTATCGACGTTCGGAGAATGCCCGCCCTGCCCAAGCTCTGCGTTCAACGTATTATTATCGATCAAGTCGAGGGCGAGGGCCTGCCCCGCACTACCGTTGGGGATGATATAGGTCACTGCCAAATCATCAACCAACCCCCCAAGAGGCAAGTCCTGGCGCTTACTCGTGATGGGGCAGGCGGCGTGGAACAGGGGGCCCGCAATGGCCTGCGTGTGACAGGGCCATCGATGCACTGAGCCGTAGAAGGGGCCCATGAAAATGTCGGGCCCACTGGGGTCCCCCACCCCCCCTCCTGCCTGCGGTCTACAATGCGCGGTGCGGCCAGCAGCAACTACGATGATGATCGCCTTGCGGCGGTTCCTGGCCAGCATCTCGCGGAAGTGTCGAGCCTCGCAGCGCCAGTCCTGCGTCTCAATGAGCTGGGCGGCGTGCCCCGTGCCAAACGCGTTGCGCACCTCATTCGACTTCGTCATATATGATAACGCACACGTGCACAACTTCCACTCCTGAATTTGAACAATGGTCATCAATCCTTCTCTCCGAATCAGGAAATAGACCTTCGCACCAGTAATCTAGAACCCCCACTCCTAAATAGAGTCTCCACGACGGGCAGAAGCAGTGGATCAAACTAAGGCACGCGTTGATGTCCTTTATGATGTTCCCCGTGGACTGATTGTTCTTCTTGCTGATCATGATCCCGTGACTAGTGCGCGGCTGGATGGGGCAAGTGCCTAGCTCGTCGAACGTGCGCTAGTAGGGATTCTAATACTGCAGGGGCCTCCGACATCACGTCATTGCTGAAACCTCCAAGCTGCCGTTTATCTGGTCGCCTTACCCGAAGGCGAGAGGGGCCCCAGCCGAGGCCGAAGGGGCAGTCGGCATCCTCATGTCCAAGCCCAGCTGTCGGAAATCCTGGTCTATCCAACCATTTGTGGCTCAGAATCGTGGTGGTGATCTCGGAGGGCCACGACCGCGGAGGGCCTGTATCGTCGGTTGCGTTGTCGATAGACTCGGTTATGCATAAACCTCAGATCATCGAGAGTTTGGGCATAGTCTACACTCGAAGGCGGCCCGCACTCCATCCCGACAGGTTGCACTTGATCAACGGGGGTATCTAGTAGTCTCTGGACTGCTGTCTGGTCTGTGATCCACCTATTCTCCATAACCTCGCGTGCCTCCAGACCTCCCTCTCCGCCCGGCCGTGCAAGAGCGCCGACAAAAATACCAGCAAGAGGACGAGCCGAAGTGAGGGAGAGGCACGAGCGCTTGCGCGTGCCCGTGCGTGTACCAGCTCGTAGACGTGCAAGCTCAGCCACGCGTGCCGTCTCTCTGCGTGCCCACGCTGCTCGAAGTCCGGACTCTACGCCGTGCGGCCACCGCGCATTTTCCACCTCTCGAAGTGCTTAACTTCTGGGGAATCGATTTGAGTTCCTCGGTGTCGGGGGCGAGGCCCTGTTCACGAAGTGCTGCTCGCTGCCTGAGAAGTGGCATGCGATGCTCCCTGTCTCCTTTTACCCACGGGGGGGTCGATTTGTTGTTTGAATAGTTTTGCCCGGCGTTCGTCCTGATCAGATACGATACCACAGCATTGTGCCTGCTCGGGTCCTGGTCCTCGAGGATCATATTAAGAAGGGGAGCCGCCTGGGTCAGGGACGCGTGAGGGTCGTGCAGGAATTCTCTGCGAGCGCATCCTACTTATACTCCAGCTGCCAAAAGCCCCCAATCCCACACACTGTAGCCCATATCACGTGGAGACGGTGGTGCTGCGATGACTACCTCCATTCCCATAGGTATGTGATCAAGCATGTGCGGTAGATAATGTAGTCTACGATTGAACGCCAACGCATATACATACGACCCACAAGTGGTAGAAGAGACCGAGGGACGAGATGGTAAGCAATACGTGAACGTGACTCTCGAATCCCATACAAACTAAATCCGACATTGTAGACAATGTTCGGGACGGGAAATTCCATCTCAAGCAAGTGGTTGTAAACGCGCTGTCCTAGAACGGTTCTGACGCGGCCTGGTGAGGGCCGATACTTTCGTCGGCTTGAAGTTCACAGTTCACACGCCCAAGCGGCTGGTTCAGGTCCGCAAACACAATGGGGGCAACGCGACATGGGGCTGACGAGGCCTCGCCCCGTACCCAATCCCAGAATTTTAGAACGGTGAGTCGCCAGTCGGATCTTAGCTGTCGACCCCTGGGACGGACGAGGCGGGAAGTATGCGACGATCAGTCGCACTCGGAGGCTACCTTGAAACAAATCAACACCTCCACCACGGCCACGTACTTCACTCGGAGAGGTGGTGATGCGGATGGCGTCGTGCGGGCGGAATCTTGATGATCGGAAACCGAAGCTACATCCCGCGGACGAATTGGTCATGCTTCCTCGGCCCCACCCGAAATGTAGAAACTAGTGGTGGTAGCCGCGATCAAAGACATGAGCGGCACGCTGCTTGGTTCTAATTTTTGTGCCTGGCATAAAAAGTGTGGAAAATGTCGAACTCCCGACTATATCTACGACGACGACAATGATGCCTGGCGCCGACGCCGACACCGACGCCGACGCCGACGCCAGCGCCAGCGCCGACACCAACGCCGGCGCCGACGTTGACGACGACGACGACGCCGACGCCGCCGCCGACGACGACGCCGCCGACGAAAGCGACGCCGACGCCGACGCCAGCGCCCACGCCGACACCAACGCCGACGCCGATGCCGACGACGAGCACGACGCCGAGCACGACGCCGAGCACGACGCCAACGCCGACGCCGACACCGACGCCGACGACGACGCCGACGCCGACAACGACGCCGATGCCAGCGACGACGGCGACGACGACGACGAGCACGACGCTGAGCACGACGCCGAGCACGACGTCGACGACGCCAAACGCCGACAACGACGCCAACACCGGCGCCGACGCCGACGAAAAGCATGACGCCAAGCACGACGCCGACGCCAACGTCGACGACGTTGACGACGCCGACGCCGACGACGACGACACGACAACGACGCCGAGCACGACATCGACGACGACGCCAGCGCCGACGGCGACGACGTTGACAACGACAACGCCGACGCCGACGCCGAGCACGACGCCGACGACGTCGACGCCGACAGGAACGCCGACAACAACGCCGACGCAGGCGCTGGCGCTGGCGCCGACGCCGACGCCGACGCCGACAACGACGCCGACGATGACGACGATGCCGAACACGACGCCGAGCACGACGCCGACGACGCTGACGCCGACAACGACGTCGACGCCGAATCCGACGCAGGCCACGCCAAGCACGATGCCGAAATCGACGCGAAGCACGACGCCGACGCCGAGGCCGACGCAGATCGCCGCGGCCGACGACGACGACGACGTCGACGACAACGATGCCTGGCGCCGACGCCGACACCGACGCCGACGACGACGCCAGCGATGGCGCCGACACCAACGCCAGCGCCAACGACGACGACGACGACGACGCCTACGCCGACGCCGCCGACGACGACGCCGCCGACGACGCCGACAACGACGCCAACGCCGACGCCAACGCCGTCGCCGACACCAACGCCGACTCGGACGTCGACGACGACGATGAGGCCGAGCACAGCGCCGTCGTCGTCGCCCACCCCCCCTACCCCCTCATTCCCCTGGTTCCGAACCCGGGGGGGCCCTACGAGCGACCACAGAAAACGATCTTTCAGGACCAGCCTGGCCTTGTGGGACTTTTTGTGGAGCGGGGAGGCCGTCTTCTGCGAAGAAATGCCGACTTTCTTCTGGCGGTCGGAGAGCTGAGTCTGGCATGCTGTCGGGGAAGGAGGCTCATGCAACCACGACTGGATGGCCAGCACGATTGAGACAATGAATATGATGATGTAGCCCACAATGACAAGCCCAGGGCCTTGGGCAACGTGCAAGGAGCGGATGTACGTGGCAGCCGGCCCTGCCGTAGTTGTGAGTCGGAAGATGCATAGTAAAAACCGCGGACCAGCGGTATCCATGTGAGAGGCGCGCCCCCCGTGCAGGTTGAGCCAAAATGGCTACGGAGGAAGGGGCAGGAGGAAGAGGAGGAGAAGGAAGAGGAAGAAACGGAGGGAGAGAAGGGTGGCGCGGGAGGAGCAGGTAGAAGAAGGGGGGCAAGGGGAAAGAGGGGGAAAGAGAGGGGGGGGGGAAGAGGGGGGGCAGAGGGGAGGAGGGCAGGGGGGAAGGGGCCGAAGACAGAGCGCAAAGCATGGAGAGACGCAATCTCGATGGAGGTGCCCATACTGAAGACCCACATGTTGCAGCACTTGTGGACAACCCTGCTGTTCTTTCCATGGCGCATTCGGAAACGAGATGGCAACGCGTATGATGATTGGTCGTGTCTTCGCCCCGCCAGCCCAACAAAGCATGAGGGTGAACTTCTGCTCGTAAAGGCAACGGCTGCGTCGATTCGATGAGTCCACATTACATCACATTACTACCATCCTTCCAGCTCTGCCGTTTATGCGCCGAGCAAGTGTAACTGAGTCGGACTGGAAGGTTAAATTGAATCAGGGCTACACGCTGAAGCTCACCAATATTTGTCATACTGGTCGGGATCTCGGGAGAGCATGGTTCCGCAGAAAGGGCAGAGAAATGAGACCCATTAATATCACCGATCGGATTGCGCAGTCCCCAGGAAATGCGACGACGATTCAACCACCTGCTGCTAGCGGCGACCAGGTCATACAATCCGACGCACACGGGGAACGCAGCCGCTCCTCACCTGGCACCTCTCCTCCGCCGTTACCCCCCTCTTCCCCTCCTGCCCTCTCTCCATTCCTTCCTCCCCACCCACCCCCTCCCTCGCTCCTCATCTGCCCATTCCTCCTCCCCTTCTTTCTCCCCTTTCCTCCTTCCTTCCCTTCCCTCTCCCCGTCCCTCCCCACCCCGCTCCCCCCCCTCCCCACTCCCAAGCCGTCTAAGGGCGCGTCTATGTCCCGTACAGCACGGCCCTCTGGCAACGTCAGGTCCAGGATCCGCTTCTCCTCTTCCTTGGCCTTCCGCTCCTCCTTGAGCTTGTTGAACCGCTTGAGGACCTCCTCTGGAACCTCCTTGGACTCGTCCTTGGATCGGAAGGGGATCCTTCTCCTCGCCCCTCGTCACCTCATTGTCTTTCTCCATACCCTCTTCCCACCACCCCTCCACCCCCCCCCCCCTCCAACAACCGAGGGCGCGCCGCTGGAGGCCAAAAAGGGGGGGGTCTGGGACCCCTCCCGTTCCCCCCTTTCCCCAATACGTCGTCCTGGGACCTCCCCCTCCCCCCCCCACCGTTCCCGATCCGTCGTCGTCCCCGCCCCCCCCTTTCTAAAGGGGGGGGGGGGGGAACCCCTCCCCCCAACAATTTAGTCTCGAATGTCGAGCCCCTCCCCCACCCCCCTTTGGCCACGCCGCTCCCCTAGCTCCGGAACTCTACCCCCTTGCCCTACCGCCCTAGCCCTAACCCTAACACCCTAACCTAAGCCTACCACACAAACCCCAACTAACTCTAACACCCTAACACCCGAACCCGAACACCAGGAACCCTGACCCGAACCCTGCCACTCTGAGCCGTAACCCTAACCCTAACACCATAGAGCGAACCCTACCGCCCTAACCCTAACACCCCAACCCTAACACCCTACCCGTACCTAGCCCTAACATCCTACTCCGAACCCTTTCGCCCTGATCCGAACTCCACCACCTAAACGTGACACCCATACCCGAACACCAATACCCTAACACCCTAATCCGACCCCTAACGCCGTAAGCCTAACACCCTGACCCGAACACCAATACCCTAACACCCTAATCCGAACCCTTGCACCCTAATCCGAACATCCTGGCCGCAACATCCGAACCCAACTCCCATGAGCCTAACACCCTTCCCATGACACCCTGAGCCTAACACCCTAACCATAACGCCCTGACCCTAACACTACAAGCCTAACAACCTAACACCCAGAATATAACCCCCAAGCCCTAACCCATTAGTCCTAAGTTCTAAGTCCTACGCCCTAAGCCTTCAGCACTAAGTAAGATGTACGCCATTAGCCCTAAGCCCCAACACCCTTATCCCAGGCTTTCAACCCTAAGCCCTAGGCCCCAAGCTCCAAGGCTTCTGCCCTAAGCTCTAAGCCCTAAGGTTTAAGGCCTAGTCTCGGCTGGGTGCGCGTACTCCCCTACTCCGCCGTGCCTTCCAGGAACCTACGAAAGTGACGACTGTTGCGCAGTTCGCAGCCCCCCAGGGAGCTGCGAGGTCCCTGCTGGATGCGCGTACTCTCCTACTCCGCCGTGCCTTCCAGGAGGCGACGGTCGCGCAGTTCGCAGCCCCCAAGGGATCTGGGAGGTCTCGGCTGGGTGTGCGTACTCCTCAACTCCGCCGCGCATCCCAGGAACCAACGAAAGTGGCGACAATTGTCAGTTCGCAGCCACCCAGAGAGCTGCGAGGTCTCGGTTTGGCGTGCGCATATTCAAATAATAGGCTGTTCTCCACATCCCGATCGCACATCTGATGATCTCGACATCGTCTTCTGAAGCCCTCAACCTTCATGGTCCTATTCAAATAGCAGATATTTTTCTGCACACGCCCGACTTCAACCTTTCACGATGGAAATCTGTGCCGCTCACGATCTTTTGATGAAGCACTATGCGACGCACATCTGCTGATCTCGACATCGCATTCTCAAGCCTTCAGCCTTCACGATCCTACGCAAATAAAGCGCGTTCTCTGCACACACACACACACACGGTGTAAACCTTTCACGGTGGAAATCTATGCCGCTAACAATCCTCTGGCCTAACAGACAGAGGTCCTCTCCGGTGTAAAGGGGGGAGGGGGGGTTCGAAATCCGCTCCCGTGTCCGGCGTGGGGGGGGTGGGGTATCCGACCCCCCCCAAAAGGGAGGGGGGGCGGTCCGAAAATCCCCCCCACCCCCCTTGAAAGAGAGGAGGGGAGGTGAGCGAGCACACACACCCCTTTTCACGTCGCTAATGGTCCGGAAGCTTGGTCCGCAGCAACTTCGAGGATAGATGGGAAACCGTTTTCAAAATACTGTTATGGCAGTAGCGCCGAGCACATTCGTCAGACAAAATTCCCAGCGCTTCAATGATGGAGGGGGATCGTTCTCAAGATGGGGCTCTCGCGTTAGCGCCGCGCGGGATCGGCGTAGTGTTGGCTGGCGTTGGGGTCATGTTCCTCCACCTCCTCCTCCTCCTTCACCTCCCTCCTCCTCCTCCTCCTCCTCCTCCTCCTCATCATCATCATCATCATCAGCAGCATCATCATCATCAGCATCATCATTGCGTTTTTCTTTTCTTCCTCTTCCTCCTCCTCACCCTCCTTTTCTTCCTCCTCCTCCTCCTCCTCCTTTTCTACGTCCTCCTCCTTTTCCTCCTCGGCGTGTCGACCTCGTAGCTCTGCTTGTGGCCTTCTTGGCTCTCTGCGTGGTCCTG